TTAAAAAAACAACGTAAGAAAGCGTGAGTCTAGAAAAGAGATCGATCCGTGTAGGCAATATATAATACACTTAGCGAAGTGTATTCATTTCTGACGTGCGGACGACAGAAACGTGGGCAGAGAGAACGGAAAATCGCCACCCCAATCAATAGCCCGTGATGAACGGTGCAACGGCTATTGGCACAGCTCTGATGGCATATAGACGCTCGATCGGACCCTATGAATTATTCAATGTTAGCCAAGTGGACCTTGGTGTATTTACCTCTAAAACCGAGTCGGGCCCCATACTATCCAGAACACTCACTTGATCTCGTTCCTTGACCCCCAGGCCGATACCAAATGCCACAACTCGATCGCGACGCCCTATTGACCCTGAGTAAGTCAATCCGCACGCATGACTTAACGCCACCGGCGTTACTGCCCGATAGCATCGCGCGAGGCAAACAAGAACTCGCTCGCTCTACGGGATGTATTGCAAAAGTTTGCCTTGGGGAAGTTTGCCGCAGCATATTGTAATTATAATGCGTGAAATTACGTAATAACTTTCCCGCCTTGTTTGCATAGCAAATATTGTCAACGACATTATAAATCGTTCAAACATTTGCTACTCTAGCAGGCTGATAAAAAATTGCAATAAAGATTCCATTATTTTGTCGAAAATATATAGGGAAAACGCGCACGCGCGTTTCAACTGGAATAATAAGTAATGTCATTTGATTGTTTAATAAGTAATAACTAATCTCTTTGGAATAATAATAACGCTACATTCTTTGCATAAGATTACAGATAATAAATGTTGCATTAAATTAATAGATAATAAGCTTCTCTTATCGAATAAAATTAAGAGATGACTGTAACATGTATTTTTACATTATTTTTCTCAAATTTTAATTTTAATTTGCGATACAAGAGATGTACAAAAATGCAGCTAATGCTAATTATTGCGTTAACATATACAAATAAATTGAAGCATTATTATTGTTTGTCACTGTATCATAACTCATTAAAATGATTCTGTCAAGTTAGTATACTTTATGTGTATATTATCACATTTCCTTATTAATTGGTGCACCCAGTACTTTACAATGCACGAGACTGTAATAAACACTTAATCTTATTTGTTGTTAGTAACAAGATCGATTTAATAAAAGGACAATTATTCGCATTGTAAATATTCTTATTTAAAGGTAATTTTTGCAAAACAAATTTAAGAAAAAGGTCAAGTGACAAATCTGGTAATGATCTATAATAATTATTAATTAATTCCTAAATAAAAACGAAAACAGGCACGACGCTTAGTGACTAAAACTATTTTTGATTAGGTCTCGAGAGTCGAGTAGAGGACGATCGCTTTTATTTGCAAATATTTACGCGATACGTACGTGGCGCATCCCTCTCGGCTAATTTAATTAGCTCGAGCCGTTCGTTACGGCCGATATCGAATTCTCGATGATACAGGGAAAGAAAAAATGTCGATAGTAATCGCAGTCGCATTCGCGCATGTAATCCGTTTCGTCAATTATCACTGATAAATTGTGTTCGGAACGCATTATCGGTGCGTTCATTATATGGTCGCCTGCGCATATAAATATGGAACGTGCAATATGCATCGTACGAGAGAGAGAAAAAGAGAGAGAGAGCGTGGGGAGGGAGGAGGGAAAGAGGAAGGGAGAATACGAAGAACTAGAAATCGTAATGATACTGACGATATATTCGCTAGGATGCGAGCCGTTTCGGGGTGCGTATTATCTGTTTCAATCTTGCACAATATGAGCTTTTATTCGATTTTTTAAATTATAGTTTGTTATCTTCAAAATATTGCAAGATTAAATCTTTGATCAAACTTTACAATTTAAATAATCTTTTAAAGAAACGTAATCGTTAATCGCATCTTATGGACGATTAATTAGTAAGTCAATTAAGCTTTGCAATAATACACTCAATATTTTATTATCTTTTTGATGGACGTTGTTAAATGGTATTGGTGACATATTTTTTTATAAATATTAAAACGTGTATTTTTTCAAAAATGCTTTAAATATCGTTATCAATTCGATAAAAATTGATTTGATATTTTCCAAATTCGAATTTTTTAAATATTCAGAAGAAGAAAGACATTAATATACGTAAAGTAATTAATATATTCGGCGCGCCAGATGCGCTCCTACTATATTTTAATCATTCCTGTCTAAATTTCTCCTACCTTTTAATCCCATGCATTCGCAACATTTCGTATTCTACGCGTTTATCCAAGTTCGTAACAAAATGCCCACATTTACGAGAACTTCGAAGATCATTATTAATTATACAAGAAAACAGCTCCGCTGTCGGCGTGACAGTTGCCGATCTAGAATTTCATATTAATTAATACAACAGACGGCGCAGAATGCTCTCATGCGCGTTATTATTAATTTCAGTGCGCGTCGACTTGCTCGTCGCAAACTGTTTCCGCATTATAACTTCGCTCGATGTTGGATTCACGAGAGAAGCGCGCATTATTTTATGATGTACTTAAACATTATGGACTACATCAACAATAATGTACTCTGTATTAAAATGAATACATAATTATTATATATGTATATTTTTTAGAAAGTTGATAATACAAACAATCAGGTTAAAAGTAATTGCTTCAGATTTTAAAACAAGTTAAACTGATGCTATTAACGTAATGGTAATTAATCGCTGACGGAAATGTAACGTGCTTTAATTATATTTATAACTTGATTACGTGTATGGTTCACACAAGCTAAATATCAACTGTATATTCATAAAATATTAATATGTACATAATAATATAATATTATTTATTAGCGCAGCCACAAAATTGCTATACTCAATATAAATTATATTTGTGCTAAAAAAATATTTCGAAGAGTAACAATCTTTCTTTATCTTGCATCTTCCACCCGGTCGTTCATTCTGCTCCTTACCAATGTGTCGAGCCGCGTTATAAATTTTAAGGAGCTTAATTCCGCGTAATTACCAAAGTTTCTGGGTTGCCTCGCGAGGAATAACTGCGGGGCGATAGAGAGGAGTGAGGGGGAAAGAAGGAAGAAAGAACGAAGACGAAGAGGGCCCTTGGAAACTTTTTAAAACCGAGCTCTTTAAAACATGCCGACATTTTTCGATCGGTCGTTATTTACTTTTACACGACCCCCGCGGCACAGCGGTGGCTCACAAGAGAGTTAGAGGGAAAACGGGCGGCCGCTACAAAATCGACGACATTTTGATTTATGAAGCGAAGAGATGGAAATCCCACGCCGGGACACGAGACACTGAGGGGGAGGGTTGCGTCCTGCGAGACTCCCAGACGCCTTTATCCAGCGGCGCCAATTTTTTCGATCTGCATCTCGATCATCATTGTACGCGTCACTCGCTTGTAAGAGAACACTCGCGAGAGTGCTTTCTCATGAGATTTATGACGTCCCGATGCTGCGGAAAAATGGAGACCGAAAATGCGAAAAAGGGAATCGATCGTTTCGAGTATAGTGCGAGTCTACATTTCCCTGGCACCGGCTACACGAGCTGCACGCTATTTTTAAAACTGAATCCGCTTTTGCATTTCGATTATATATAGCATCGAGATAAAATTAAAAACGATTAAAAAAAAAAAAAAAAACGATTTGTTAATTAATTCAATTTGTACCTCAAATTACTCAGAATGCTGTTGGTTTTTTGCAATTTGACCGTGAAAGTTTAATTTTAATGTCGGTTATCCGTTGCGATTTTAATTCCATTGGGTCAAGTTCGCCGCAACGTCGACCGTAATTCTTACCGCAGTTATTCTGCTACTGACGAGTGATCGAAGCTCCTCCGGTAAGGACCCTCAGCGTTGGCGGTGCAAGGGGTTGACGCGCTATTTCAGGAAGCCATAGTGATTACGCTTCGGTCGCCAATGAGAGCTTATCTCGGCGGCGAAGGCGGGCGGCGGCGGCGGCTTCTAAAGGAGACGCCTGTGTACCACGTATACCTTTAGTAGCCACCGCTAACAGCCCTTTCACCCCCTTGACCCGTCCCTTGGCTAAACTTACGCCAGGCTCGGAGTAAGTTATTACATCGTGAAAATAAGGGGAAAATTGGAAAGCGGTTTAGCCGTGAAAACGATGTCAATTACCGCCGGTGTCGGCGATACCGGTCTGGAGCAGGGAAATGGTGTCTCGCGGCTTGTACCTCCCGCGCAAGGAAACCGCTTTTACGACACCGGCATGTACAAAAGATGGATGCGATCAAGGCACGGCTATGACAGAAAATTTCTCGACGATAATTTTCCAACGATGTTACCGGGCAAAATTGTAATTACCAGGCAGAGACGAAGATAAGGGGAGAAATTAATTTATTGCGTTAGAGCGGAAGCGACGGAATGCAATCTGATGAGACATAACGAGGAGAGTAATTCGTTGTACCCCGGTTGGCGGAAATTTGTACCGTTGCCTTTCGGAGGTGAGTGATAGCCGTCATGATGCGGTGATAAAGTTTGAGGGTTGGACGTGAATAGACGATGGAGGGTTTGTGCTTATCGAGTTAGTACCGCAAAATTTTTGACGTCGCAATCTCGTTTCTTAAATCTTCTCGCGCTTGAATACGGGTGTATGTGTGTATAAAACTATTATAATATCCCCTAACTTGATATAAATCTCAAATTTAGTTGACATAATAAGAAAATTATTTTATAATTTCGTTCATTATTATTCACGTTGATATACGCGAAAAACAATCCTGACATGTTTTTTAAATGATTGAAACACTAATTTGATAATATACTTTCTCTATTTTGGGTGCATAGATATCGTCAGCAAAGTCCTTAATTCGCCAAGTTATATTTGCATTTTACTTCTTGTAATCACGACTATCAATAATGTACAATGGCGTCAAGTCGTGGCCATTTATATTTCGGAGCCTCGCGCAGTCATAACGGAGCGTGTTTACGCGGACTAATAAATTTCGCGAGTTACCGAAACTCCCTTCGAACTTTATGATAAAGCGTCGACGTCACCTACCGGTGGGTGTACATGGAGTTCTTGCCGCCTCGACGAGGTCTTCGCGACTTCCGGGCGGCGCCTCCAGCATTGTCGCGCTGCCGGAAAATTTCTTTACGCACAGCAGGCTTAACGCTGAAAAAAAAAACCACAAGTAGTGCATTACACATACAACTTTTAATTTTAAATTAAATAAATCTACTTGTAATTATGTTCTAAGTAGCAAGTTTATTTCTCTGTGCAACATAGCAAACTTTTAAAAACTGTAAATTACATTCGTTTATATTGATGACTTAATACATACTTTAGCTTTTCTCATATAAGATGATTATGTATTAAGCTTACAATTAGATAAATATATAATGTCGTTTATCTCTTTCTATTATTTGACGAGACAAAATTGCAAAGTAAATTTGATCGGACTAAAGTGACTTTTGAATTAGGGATGTTAATCGCGAAAAGAGTTCGCGAGTAAACTTGAAAGAATTAAATGACCTCGTCGATATAACGCGGTATAATTAGGGCACAATGCTGCAGAGGTTGCTTAGCATTTTCAAGCGATGTACTCCGCTCAGCATTCGATAGCTCTTTCCTAGGAAATTGGAGACGCCACCATACATATTTATAGGCAGAGTCCTTTGGGAATTTGGCAAGCTATTGGAGTAGTGCTCTAATCATCTCAGGATAAAAAAAGGATCAAAAGTGCCTGATATAGCTTTCAGTGTGCGCACATTCTGTGATAAAATTACTTTGTAATATTAAAAAAAATATATTTAATCAATATAGATCAACCATTTTATTTTGTGAAAAAAATCGTGTGTCATAAGATCTCTTTGCGAATGCACGGGATGGCATTAATGTTTTCTCGATAGTATTGCTTTTTATTTTTTATTTAATTCCATAGAGTTCGAAGATTTTTCTACTATCGCAACACTGCTAACAAAAACAATACACATGCCATTTTATCGGATATAGAATGTCAGTATTTGCAATCTACTTCCTTCAATAAATAAATACCTATGTATAAAAACTTTATTCTACTTATATTTTCAAGAGTTTTTACTAAACAATTAAATATTTTATTTTCTCGATAAAAAGTCACAACTGTATGAATTTTTTCTGAAAACTGAAATATCTCTTTCTAAGTTAAAGTTTAAAATATTAACAATGTATCAGAATTTGTTCAAATTTTTAGCAAGAAATATTTGTAAAAACATTTTTATTTGTTGATATGGAAGTTCACAAGAAGCGAAATTTATCAAAACTTGAAAAATTAAAGTTTCGATGAACAGTCGAGTTATCGCCGCTTTTTCTATTCTTTATCCGTCATCTGGCTCACCATGTGATAGGTACGTGAGATGAAAGTCGAATACTTATACAACGTCGCACATATTCAAGAAGATTGAGGTCGTACAAAATTTTATTTATTAGAGCTCATTTATTCTTCATCACTTCTCAGCAATTCTTCGCGTGCAATGGCCGTCGATCAAAAATGCGATTTTTCTATTAGAGAAACAAAAATGCAATCCACGTTATTCGAAACTAGGTCGAAACAAGAATTGAGAACGCATATACCCAGTAAACTACCAGCGCGATTTATAAAGTACATACAATAGCATTGTTAAATTTATAGACAGAATAATCCGCTTTCATAAAAAAAATTAAAACTTTTATTACATTTACAAGTAATTAATTTTACATTTATAACTTTGTATTATTGTTTAAAATATAATAAATAACAACGTCTAAAAGATATTTGATTTGCGAAATAAATATGTATAATTGTGAGAGAATTTTAGAGAAAAAATAACTCGAGGTTTAAATTCGGCAATAGTTCCTATATAATCCGCGGATCACCACGTTATGCGTAACATGGATATTTCGCAAATTCTAAACTGACTTCTAACCACATCGATTCAAATGATTATATAAATAAAATTACAGCCCGAACTAATTTATTGACTTACCCCGCTTCACGTCCCGCCACGTGTTCGTAATTTCGCCGAATCTGCCCAGTCCGTTTGGTGTCCGTCCATATATTCCTCTCACATCGTTCAGATGTTCGGTTTTTCTCGAACCTGCAACAATAAATAACAACTGTTAATTCTTGTTAATAAGGTTCTACCTTCTATTGTTTGTATAATATTTGAATTAAAAGTTTATAAGATATTTGTTAATTAACTCGGAAGAGATATTTTCCCTCAAATAAAACAGCAAGTTTTATAATTGAGCATTGTACGAACGCGAAACGAAAACTGCTCATACAGTTGAATCTAGAATTTGCAAAATTTTTTCTACGCGAATTGCCGCCAACGATTAAACACAGAGTCACTGAATTGTCGTGGAGCTAGGAGCATTCCACGCGTGAAACTTTGCGGGTGAATGCGTCGCGAAATAATACATTTGCGGCGGAGCGCGTGACACGGCCAGTCTCGGTCGTGGGTGACTTTTTTCCACCGTGTCGAAGCTCGCATTTTGTTACCGCGAGATCTACGGAGATTACATTCGCGTCCGCATGGCAACTAAACGCGGCGCAATTTGACGCGTTGCACATGTAACAAATGCATAATGCGGCAGAGACCTGCATATATGCATGAAGTCACGAAATGTACGTGTATATGTACACGTACCGCGATGTACGCGTGTCCCGGAATACAAGGAGGGTAAACACGAGCGAGGCGTGTAAACAAACCGCGCGCCACAAAACGCCGGAATCGCTTTGGAATAAGTATTAGAATGTTGTAACTTAAGTTTTATTGGCCCCGCCGCCACAACGGTAATGATAAAATAAAAGATGCACCGCAACTACCAATTCTACGGCGGCACACTTATTGTTGGTTTCCCTCTTCTATACTGCACTCTCTTTGTTACATTCAATAGTAGATTCTACGCCAAATGTTAGCAGAAATATTAAGTGTATAATATGCACATAGCATATGACACTTTTATTTAAAAAGAAAAAAAAGAGGAAGTTATGATTTTATGCTGTCAAACTTACGGATAAAGCAATTTTGTCAATTATGAGAGACTACAGTTAACTTTAGTTACGATCCTCCTCGCCGCTAATAATTGCTCCAATTACTACCCATGTAAATCAATCCGCTTTATTATATTCTCGTAATTATTTTGAGAGTGCTCGACATCGCTCGTCGCGTTGTGTAGCAGGCGAGCATGACTTTTACACGGAGCGTTCTCTGCCGCGACACCAATAAAATGCGACCGACAGCCGAAAGTACTTTACGCGATTGTCAAGCGCGAGTTAACGCACGCGGGAATAACGTGTCGGTGGGCGAAATTGGTCGTAAATTCTACGGTCAGGAATCTTTTATCTCTTAATGTAGCTCCCCCATGTCGTTTTATGCGATACCTGGTACCATTACAAGATAAGGGATGCCGCCTAACTTCCCTTTTTAGTCTCCGCTTTTTCATTTCGCTTTTCGGTGCGCCCGCCCTACGGTTGATTTCTTTAAGCGTGTATCTATCTCTCAACGTAAATACTTTTTTCACATAATTTTCACCATTCGTCCGCAGGAAGTATAGCAACATATTATGTATTTGTATATATGTTATCGAGATCGAAATTAAGGATTCGAGAATGAGTGTTGTTAGGGTTAATATAGCAAGAATAAATAAGTGTATTAATATGTATTTTTGTGTACCCGCTTCTTTATCCAGGAGCTACAAAATTTTTAAACAAACTTTAAAATGTACTCGACCTTTTGCAGTTTTATATTAAATTCTAGTAAAACATTTTCTTCAATAATATTATAACCTTATATTTTGTAATGCTGTATAGATTGTTTTAAACTTTTATGTAATTATCAGTTTCTTATTTTATACTAAAATATGATTTTTTTCGGCTATATAAAAAAATCTCTCTTTTTCGCTTTAAGCCTTTATAACTTTTTTCCTATTTATGATTTTAAAATAAAGTTTAGTTTAGGTGTTTTGATTTAAGAAAAAGGAAGTAAAATATAATGATGCTTGTCTAAGATATGAACAGCTAGGTGTACTCCAGATTTCTCAAACCCAGAGTAGACAAAAAATAAAAGTAGTAATCTAATGTTAATAAAAAGATATAGAAGTTATAATCGAAAGATTTACATTTCAGGCTTGCACGTTCACTTGACCTAAATCCATTAGATTTTTATCTCTAGAGATACTTAAAAGCCCTAATTTATACAACTAAAATTACGAATGAAAGGAAGTGTCACCAACGCATCGTAGATGCCTGCGAAATCTGCAATCTACATGGGATCTACGACAATCTATGATCCGATGTGTCCATGCGTGCATTGGAGTAGGTGGAGGATATTAAAACGACATTTGTTATGAATTATAAGTAGAAAAACAATTAAAATAAAGATATATTACATTGATCATGTTTCATTGCAGATGTATTTCTCTGTCAGTTTTTGTCGATAATAATCTTTCGATTATAACTCATAAACTAGGCCGCTAGGCCCGGACATATGTATATATATATTTCCGGACATATGTGTATATATGTATATTTCCGGACATATGTGTATATATGTGTGTATATAACATTTTTTCTTGTTTATGTGTGGAGAATTCACCCCCAAAGTTTATACAAATATTTCTGAATCATCCTGTATATAGAAATATTTTGTTGGTGATTGTGGCGTACAAAGAGAAGTGCGCTGCTGTCCAAGAATTGAGTTCAAATTCGACCAAAAATCGTCGGTCTTTATTCGATCGCCTCTCAGAAGATAATAACAACCCACCGAGAGTATTTTGCTTTGAGAATCTCTCTATATTTGAGAGATCAAAACATGTCACTAATAACGAAATGATGAAAGCAGGAATATCTCCGTCCACTCACCAACCCGCTGCGTGGCAGATTAACGGCCAAACACTCCCTCAACCCTCGCCGCCCATCTGTTCTACAATTTCATATAATCCATCTGGGATTTTTTTTCCCCACTTTATTATAATTACTTATTTTATATTGAGAAGAGGGTTTTTCGACGTATAAATAAAGGATTTTTAATATATAAACATTTTTATTGAAATAAAAAGTAAAAAGAAGTATAAATATTGCTAATAATGCTTGCTAATTGCTGAAAATAACTACTAGGAATCATTATCTTCGATAAAACAAAAAATATCACTATTTTTAAGTGCATGGGGTCAGAAAAGACCCTAGGTGGCGAGGATTAAGGGAGGCCTAATTCCAACAGTGGACTCGATGGGCTGTGATGAATGATCATAAATATATATATATGTATGTATGTGTATATATATTTATGTACATATATATATCTGTTAAATCATATCGTGACGTAATTATATGCATGATTTCCCATTGGCACTGAGTGAGTATAACCGGATATGACAGATAGACTGTAGGGACGTTCAAAGAGAATGTAGATATTAACATCTAAATCCCCGTTACATTTCCAGCTTCTGCAGAAGTAATTTCAGTAGATGTCAGTCATAATGACAGAAATAGTAATGAGAAAATAGAAGTTAAGAGAATTTCTATAAAAGAAGTTAAATGAGATACTAAGAAGTAAATGTAAAATAAGAAATAACTGCAATAAAGAATATAAATTATCGGATAAAGATGTAATTAGTATTCATTAAAAATGTATTTAAGTTTTATTAAATATAACCAATAATATAATACCTAAATGTATTTAGGTATTTATGATATAATAATATTAGATATATTATTGGTACGTTTTAACGCAGGTAGTAGGAGGTATATAAAATATAAAAAAACTAGTAAAGATGTTATGAAATCTCCAATGTCAGTCATGATGATAGAAATTAGAAAATTGAAGTAAGAGAATTTGTAAAAGAAATTAAATAAGATATTTTCAGAAGTAAATGTAAAATAAAAAATAATTACAATAAAGAGTATAAATTACGATAAAATTATCCCATGTAATTAGTATTTTTTAAAGATGTATTTAGATTTTATTATTAAATAATGTACTAAAAATATAATTATATAATATCTGAATGTAATTATATTATATCATATTATTAGTACGTTTTAACGCAGGTGGTAAAAGATATAAGATACAAAGAAGCTAGTAAAGATGTTACAAAGTCTCCGATAAGCGCGGAAATTGGCACGGAGAAAATCGATTGGTATTGCGGAGAAAAGGGAAGAAGAATGTTGGACCAGGGTACCGCGGTAGAAACTACATACCTCCGTCATGTTACTCTTTTCTCTTCAAAACGTTTTGTTTCGTTGCATCTCTTTTTATCCAACGTGTCGAATCGACGCATTTATCTGAACTTTACCAGATACGCATATTCCTGAAAGATGCGGTACAAGAAAAAGGAGGAGCTTGTGACCCGGGTTACCGGTGTGAATAAAGCAACCGATGCAGCAGAAGGATCATAACCAGCCGTTTCTTAACACACGTTTTTTTCTTTTTCGTCTATTGTTAGAATTGTAAAAAACGCAACAAGTTTGCATGACGACTGGTATTGTCAGTGAATTTCCAAAACGCGGATGAAATTTGGGCAATATGAAGAAGATGTAAACCATCACGTATACCAAAGAAAAACGTCTTTTGTTCTTACAAGAAGACGAATCTACATTTGTTTAAATTTGCAGAAGAGAAAAGAACTCACGAATAAGTGACAAATAATTACGTAGCTAATTAGAAATGCACTTTGTATATTTTCAGTAGCGTATAAATAATCGAAGTACACAGTTAATATAAAGATGCTATAAAAAAATGAGAAAAGCTATGACTAATTAATATCAATTGTAGAAGAGTAAGAATTTTAGAAAATTAAAGTAATATATTAAACGACATGAGCTAATTGATAATAATCGCTTTTAAACTATTTAAAAATTTTAATATCACTCGAAATTTTGTCTCAAAATTATATGATATTAAATAAAAATGTATATTTTTATACTTTATTCCATCCAGTGTTTTCTTCATTGTTTCATAATAATAATACGTAATTATAAAATATAATGAAAAGTATTTACTCAATTATTATTTATTACTTTTAAATTTCACGATATCAATGCATGAAAAGATATTTAGAGATAAAATATTTTTCCGCAATATTCTCCATCCAT